CCCCGGGCTGTTGAGGCAGCCAGCCCTGAGAGAGGGGTGCCAGGATCTACCAGCTGGAAACAAGACAGGAATTCACCCCCCCAAAAAACAAGCTGCTCTTACTTTCCTTCCTCTTCAGGGTCTCCCCAGCAGGGACCCCATGGAAGAAGCTCCTCCGCTTGCCCAGAGAAAATCAGTTGGGTTGACCTGTCCCCTGCTCCGCTCTCCTCCGCAGACTGGAGGGGCAAGGCAGGAGTGGGGCGAGTTTATAGGGTGCTTTCCCCGGGGCCGCTGCTCTTGGGGAGCGGAAGGAGAATTGAGCAACCTGCCGTGGCTTCCCATCGGCTCCCCGTTCCCAGAAAGCCACTCGGGGTGGCGGAGGAAGGGGCCACGTGAGCCACAGCCCACCCCCCCCACCCTTCCCCTCACCACCACCCTGTGCTGGGTTTTTCCAGCTGGGAGAAGGGAATTGCCAGCCGGAGGAAGGGGATGTGGGGAGGTTGTGGCCCACCACGTTGACGCTTGATGCTATTTTGAGCGCCCCGACCCCTTCTTGCTGTGCCACCAGCAGCGGCAAGGCTCTCCCAGGGCTCTGTCACACCCTGGGCATCAGCTTAGTGCTGGGCAGGAGGACCCTCTCCCACACCAGCACATCCCTTCCCCATCCCCACAACCCCAGGACCCCCCCCTGACCCCCCGCCATCAAAGGAAGTGCTGGAAACGGCGCTTGACCTCTGCCGGGAGTGCAGGAAACTCTGCGGCCGGCTTCGTCAGGCCAATTTGGAGAAGTGTTGGGGCAGCACGTTACGCCGTTGCCCAACTTTGGAGAAATTTACTGAAAACCCAGGGAGGGTCACGCAGGTCTGCTGTGGTTCCAGCCTGCGAAGAGTGTCTGTCTCTGGTCACCGCTGTGGTCAACAGCGAGGATTTCATCAGCTTGGGAAGCCAAGAAAGGTGACCACAAAGTACTGTGGCACCCAGGAAGGGATGCACCGAAGGTAGGAGAATATGAGAGCAGCCCCGAGGGATACATTTGCCAGACCCTTTTAAAAAGGCTTTATTTTTTTTTTTTTTCAAAATATACAGTTTATTTACAATTGTAGTGTCTACACTTTTTATATATAACTTTATTCCGAACCTTTAAATATCAGCAGTAAACATTAGAAAAAAAAAAATATAATAATAATCACAGGATCAGCAAAAAAAAAAAAAAAGGCATCTCGTAGCAATTCTGTTTCATTGGATGTTGAGTTTCAAGTAGTCACTGTCTACAAAAAACCGTGAACTTGACGAATCTGGCAGAAAGATACGGGGGCACCGGTTAGAATAAGGCAAAAATCCAGACCCGTGGGGACCCCCACCCCAAGGGCTGCAGGTGGAAAAAACCCTGTGCTGGTTTCGGGGCTGGGAGAAGGACCCGGAATATGGAAGCCCCTCGGCATGAGTTAGATGATAGGGTTAACTGCAGCATGTTGGGCACCCCGTGGAGGGGGTCCAGGGACTCGGGGTGGAGGGGGGCTCTGGTGAGGTGCCGGGGTGGAGGAGGAGGACATTAGGCACTTCATCTCTCAGGCAGCAGACCTGCCCGTGCATCCGTGTCCCGGAGCGGGAGGGCGGTGAGGGAAGGGGCAGGACCCCCTCCCAGGGAGCCCCGCAACCTCCTCCTTCCCCTTTCCCCACATCCTCACCCCCCCCCAGCCCTCCATCCCCAATCCCCCATGGAGCACCACAGCTGGACCACGGGGATGCTCTGGTGTGTGGCCACAGCCCCCGGGAAGGTGGAGGAGTTGGGTGGTGGGCCAGCTGGCCTGCAGGAGGGCTAGGGAGGGATGGAGCTGGCAACCGGGCGTCGCGTCGGG